ATGCAGTTCCATAAAATGACTGTGTGGATGGATCAAATTGTTGACCTGGAGCAATAGACATTTCGTCTAGTACAAGTGAGCAATCTTTTTCTCTAACGTCTTTAAATTGAGCAACTTTGTCTTGTAATAATTTAAAAATATCGTCACAAATTCCCTCCTCAAATTGAATACTTTCCAATTTCCTTCGAAGGGTACGTTCGCATGGTAGAGGCAGTTTTTCCTTCAGTAATTCTTGATATCCACTGGAACCACAGGAAAACTTTAATCGAAGTGCTTTTTTTATCGTATCGTTAGACCACTTGTGGCCGCGTGAGGATCGACGCTCGAGAGCTTCTATTTGGTCATCATTAAATATTTGCTTCAGTGATGATTTCAATTTCACATAATTGTGCTGGGTTTTTGAATTGTTTTTCATTTGTGTCAACCTCTTAATATGCTTTTTTAAGACATTGTTGGATATGTTACTTTTCAATATAATTTTATTGGCCAAATCCACTTTTTTATTTGCTTCCTCCAGCTGTTTCTTTAATTGTTCACAATTATTATTTAATCGTTCAACTTCATTAATATCTTCGTTACATATTTTCTTTGAATGGGTAGGAATGGAGAGATCTACACAATAATAGAGGAAGTCGTATAAGTAATTATAAACAATAATCAGTAACATAATGATATATTATAGTAAGTCGAATTTTGTAATTCTGGAAATTAAGTGTAATTGGACCTGCAACATTACTCGATGTCAATGGAATAACATCAGGAACATCTGCTTCGAGACAGTCCTGTTGCTTGTCTTCATAAACATTAAATGTTTCAAACGCACTAGGTTGACTTTCTGAAGATTCATTCATTTTATCCTAAAGGGTTATTTTGATGAAACATTTGTAGTTTACGGTTTGCTGACTGTTTCTAAAAATACACAAAGAAAGACGACTTACATTTGTAATAATAGATGTGTTACTTCTTTTCAATCGAGCAGGGAAAATTGTGGGCAGAGCATTGCCTTTTAATTTCTTTTTTCCGTCAACGCGTGCTTTCTCCCACATTTCATTCGCAAAATGTGTCTATAAAAAATGTTTATATATTGTTCGTATTTTTATTTTTATAACACACAAGAATTGACATCTTTCACATATTACCTACCTCACATACATATAAATCTGTTGTCTTATTCCAATTATCTTTGCCTATGTTAGCAATCCAAATCTGTTTTCTTTCTGAATCTGTTGGGAAACGAGCCATAAAAATCTTTACTCCTTTCCTTGTGCATTTTTTACATTCAGGCACACAGCAATATGGCATTTTTAATCTATAAAAATAATTATTTTATGTCATTTTTTAATTTTATTTTTCATATTTAGATATATTACATACAATTTTTCAAAATAAACTTTTCTTTATTACTGTTTATTACTTTGCAAAATAAGGTTAGAAAGGATATTTATAACATTATGAATATTTATTAACAGATACATCGAATTTCATACTTATTTAGTTTCTTAATCAAATTGCAAAGATGTTACGTACCGTTATCACAGACTAATGTGTAAATGAAAAATTATGTTACACAACACAGCAGCACAAAAGATATACGTATATAAACATGTGACGCATATGACATATATGATACAACGGCCATTTTGCGCGCACTTCAGGCAGATGTCCAGTCTCTATCTCAAGGGTCTCTAGTTTGCCCGTGCCATAACCGCATCGAAACAAAACAAGTACAAGTATCAAGCAAGTATGAGCGCACAAGTATACGCGTGTTATTTGATTTATTTTATTTTAATTATTCCAAAGATCTGTATCCGAACGTTCTGAAATCTATCATTTTTACTATTTCATTTCAATTTCATTTTTTATTTTAATTACCAGTCTACATGTTGCAATTCATCACGAAGTAAGTGGCAATAATGCAAATGTATAGTGTAGTTATTGGGTGCTTTCCATTTGATGACACAAGTCGACACAAGTGTCATTCTATCGTTGTCTCTTTCTGAATCTCAAGAAGGATAGAACGACGCTTATGTCGACTTGTGTCAACTTGTGTAGTTGTGCCATCAAATGGAAAGCATGCATTGTTGTCAGATTAAATTTTCGCTATTTTCAGTACTTATAGTTTACACTGACTTTTTTCATTGTTTTATATATATATCAAAAAGTAAGGTGACTTTTTGAATTTCGTGCGCTCTGTACACTCTAATTTCAAAAATTTTTTGTTGTTGTTTGGTACACTCGTCACGATCGTATGTTGACAGTTTTGACTATATAGCATGTGTTGTTTTTATGTGAGAGGCATAAAGGTTAGACTCGTGTTTGCGTGCTCGGCGATTTTTTGCTGTTGAAAATAATGGAGCAGAGAGTTTGTATTAATTTTTGTGTAAAAAATGGTATTAAGTGTTCAAAAATTCTTGAAATGTTGACAGTAGCGTACGGTGAGTCAACTTTGAGCAAAAAAAATGTTTATAAATGAGTATAAGTTATTCCAAGAGGGCCGAGAAAATGTTAACGATGAACCTCGCTCTGGACGCACGTCAAAAACCGACGAAAATGTTCAGGAAGTGAAAGAAATTGTGTTGAAAAATCGTCGAATCACGATTAGAGAAATAGCTGATGATCTTAACATATCGTTTGGCTCATGCCAATCAATTTTAACGGATGTTTTGGGTATGACACGTGTGTCAGCGAAATTCGTTCCAAAACTGCTTAATTTTGATCAGAAGCAGCGTCGCATGAACATCGCCCACGACATGTTGAACGACGTCAATGATGATCCTGATCTGCTCAAAAGGGTTATAACTGGTGACGATGGGTATATGGTTTTGACGTCGAAACCAAAGTCCAATCATCCCAGTAGAAGAGCCCAGGAGAGCCAAGACCGAAAAAGGCACGCCAAGTTCGTTCGAATGTGAAAGTTTTGCTCATAGTTTTCTTTGATTACCATGGCGTTGT